GTATCATTAAAACTCATTTTAACTGCTTTATTTGCTTTTATTAAACATGTCTACTAGAAAAATTTACATTACATATGTAGCTTGCATTATATTTCTACTGGACAATTCTGTGCTAGAGCACAAGAAAATCTATTAAGAATTTTTTAGTCACATCATAAGAAAAGTTCTCTCATTATAATCCAACAAAATTAGACAAAAAATGAGAAAGATGGCCACAAAAAACCTTACCTATGTGTTAATTAAGAAACATCCTTGTAGATAGCCCATTGAATCAAAGAGGAAAGAAAAAAACTGAAGTTTAAATGATCAAATGAAATGAAAAAGCAAATCAAAGACACAATACCCTTCACAGTAGCCTCAGAGAAAATGAAATAGCCGGGAATATATTTTACCGAGCAAGTGAAGAATCTCTACAGAGAGCGCTATCAAACAGCGAGAAAAGACACAGAAGACGCTAACAGGGACGCGGCTGGGTGCTCAGGAGGTTTCGGAGGCCGGGGCCGGACCGGGACAGGCCGCGCCCAGAGACCACAGGCTGCCCACCTCTGCCTGTCCACCTCCCGGCCCGGGCAAAGCCTGAGGGGCCGCCGCCGCCCCATAGGAGTTGGGCGAAGAGACACCGCGAAGCAGGCCCTGGGGAAGAGCTCTCAGTGCTCCTGAGGGAAGCGGCGACCAGATGGCGGCTCCGAGGCACTCTGCTTGTCGTTGGAGGCCCACACGCTACTTTCTACCGTGACTGTCTTGCTTCTTCCTTTAGGGCCTGCCTCCCACACAGACTCTGGTGTCCCAGGAAGCTGGATCATCTTGCAAAGAGCGAGGCTCCAGCGCCAGAGCACTTTGCAGCGTGCCTGCAGGGGGAGCAGGATTCCGCAGAAGAGCCGCCTCTGCAGAGGAGCAGCATGCAGCCATGGTGCTGTATTCCAGACAGCAGCTACTCAGCAGGTGCAGCCTGCTCTCAAGACAGCAGCTACTCGGCAGGTGCAGCCTGCTGTCAAGACAGCAGCTACTCGGCAGGTGCAGCCTGCTCCCACCCAATTGGGCCCTGTAGGCTCCAAGAAACCTGCATGCTCTCTGTAAAAAGATTTCCAGAAGCTATTGTGTCGATAACAATCCTAAAAAACTCACAAAACCACCAACACTAAAAATCATTCTTGAGACTAATTTGAAAGCTAGGATAAAATTCCACACAGCACTGAAGTGGGAAGATAAAACAGCCAGATCTGTGAGTCCTATCCATCAAGCCGTGACATGCCAGGAAAAAAAAAACCCTATTCACCTCTCCATATCTTCTATTTATGATTTCAGAGTTCTCTGCATATCAGGGATTTCTTGGAGCTTAAGAAAGATATTAAGGTCAAATGTCTCTCTCTGAAGTAACAGGAAGTGTAATGGCTTGGTAATTATTTAGTACCGCCACTAAAGCAGTTATAAGTTTCATTTAACTCTTTAAAGAAAGGCCTTTTCTTACCTATTCTCATTTCACAGGACAATATGAAGGTCAAGAGGGGAAAGTGACATGTCCAAAGCCAGGGAAGAGCCAGGAGCTGTGGCTCACACCTGTAGTCCTAGAAATTGGGGAGCCTAGTCAGGTGGGTTGCCCGAGCTCACAAGTTCAAAACCAGCCTGAGGCAGAGCAAGAACTCATCTCTAAAAACAGCCGGTACTCAACAAAGGCATTAATTTACACTGTTATGATTTAATTTTAAACAAAATAGAAAAAGAGAAACAACTAAAATCAGATATAAAATTGGAGAAATTACTATAAATTTACAGTAATAGAATTATTAGACAGTAGGATGAGCAGTTGTATGCCAACGAATTGTATAAACTAGATAAATTCCTGAAAACAACCTACTAATCATAACTTACAAGGAAACAGAAAATCTGAAGAGTAAGGAGATGGAATCAGTAATCAAAAACCTCTCCACAAAACAAAACATCTAGACCGTATGGCTTCAATGATAAATTCTACCACATTTAAAGAACCAATTCTTATAATTTTTGAAAAAAGTGAAGAGGAAGGAATACTTCCTACTTCATCCTCGAATGCCAGCATTGTCTTCATATGGAGATGAGCAAAATCTCAGAAGTGAAAAACTATATAGGGAGGTAATGAAAG